AAGACGATCTACAAAAAAACGAGGCCCACTTCTAGAACACGAACAATTTCTTCTCTCTACGAAAACAACTCCTTCCTCTTTCATGCAGACACTGCTCCAACAGCTCACAAGAAACTACTCCAAAGAACATAAATCTCTCCATCCATCCTTCACTACAATATTAAATAGAAACTTAAAACTGTGGAACCAGTTAAACACTAGTATTTATTACCAATTATATTCTTGATATAACTATCCCTATAAAATATTTCTTACTAACCAATCATGATCCATAACTAACACTGAAAATTATTTGCAGTGCTGAAATTACTTGTAGTTTCAGCACCAGAACAATTTGAATACATCTTAGAAGACAGTTGTTCTCCTTTGAAACAGGTTCCATAAACCTAACTCGCGAATACCAGTATACACTAGATCTATTGAGACTAGGAGATATACGAGTAAGATTAAGATTGATATTAGACTAAGAAGTTGCACGAATCTATTCGGCCAAAAATAAGATAGCGTGACCAACAGACGGTGTACCTCATCTGAAATTACTCTATGTGACCTCTGGCATGCAACCTCCAGTCTGCTACCTCTGGTATAATCTCAAAACCAGTAATTTTGAGAACGGATGGGCCAAAAACTTCAAAAAATTGGTCAAAATTTTCAAAAAAGTGCCCAAAAACCAAACTGCAGGCTTGTTTTTTCGAACTTTTTTTCGTGCAGCAAAATAAACTTTTTTTTGCTAAATAAACAAAAATTAAATCAATTTTAATCCCTGAATGCTCATTATAATTGATTTTTTTTGCTTTTATTGTGTACCTTTTCTCGCGATAAGTGCTTAACCTTTTCACACAAACGGAGGGATGTATGAAGCCAGGGGCTGGGTTGGTGGTTTACAGGTGATTGTGGGCGTAATGGTGGGTTGCGAAATCAGAATAGTGGGACTATGTGAGGGTAAGAACAATTCGGGTGAATGGAGCTACATCAAATAGTTAAGAATTTGTAATAAAAAAACATTCAATCACTAAAACTGATAGCCAGTTTCCTACTTCAATATGTCAATATCCTTGTTTTCAGTGGCCTTGTTTTCAATGGCCCTGAACGGTATCACTGAAAAATTAGAAAACTTCAATCGAGTTTTTTCAATCAGGAACAAGTCTTTTCAAAACAAAACACGGAGAGAAGAAGTTTCTGGTCCTATTTATGATCATATGAATCTAGATTTACACAAATTGTTTTGACAAATATAGCGCGAACCCAAACAGAAAAGCATTTCAACTTAGCGGCAAAAACAACCACAAAAGGATGCCGAGCTGGGATTTTTTTTTTAATTTTCATTTTTATATGATCGTTTCTAGCTCAATTTTTCTACGCAAAAATGATTTTAAAGTTTAAAAAAGGAAAAGTTATTTTTTCTAAAAAAACTTTCAGTCAATACAACTGACAGCCAGGCCCTTATTTCCATATTCCAATGGCCCTGAACGGTATGACCGAACATTGAGAAAACTTCAGTCAAATATTTTCATAGTACTCCAAGGCAACCCGCGTAGACAACTCTGAAATTGAAGTCGATTTAAATAGTATTTTATACTGATATTATACTGTGTAGAACTCGGTTTACGATAGGCCAATTAGATAAGCTAATCAACGTAGAATGTTTTCAATGTAAATTTACGGTAAAAAAAAAACAAAAATCGAGCGCATAAAAAGATGTGAATCAATTTAAGTGGATTATCGCAAGGTAGTGAAACTGTTTTGTTGAGATCAAAATCTCAACAAAACTGATTTAACCTAAGTTTTTTCGTATGGAAGCTTCAGCATTTTTGTATGCTCAAGAAAATCTGCAATTATTGGGTTTAGAGGAGTCCCTTTCAAATTGTGCAAAACTAGAGGTTTCCGCGATAATGAAATTTAAACAAAGATTTTTGAAAACTTTATTTTGACGTGAACGTTCTAAGCTCATTTTTGCTAGGCAATTAGTGATTTTAAAATTTAAAAATATAAAAAATTGCAAACATTTAGTTATAAGTTATCCCCATAGTTTGTTTTCAGGCCAATCATCTAAAAAAAAACAGTTGAAAAACTAAAATTTTAGTTCCACTTTTTCTCTAGGTTTGAGAGTCTAAAAAACTGAAATTTTTTGTTCATATATTCTGTACATAGTCTATATAAAATGAGCTTACAAAGTTTTGTTAAAAATCGATTTTCAAAACCTTAGGAAAATGAAACCAAATTCGTTGACAAAAAGGATTTGAATGGATTAGGAACCAATTGAAAATGACTTTAAATCCACATTTTGTATCAAACTAAATCAATTTTAAATCGTTTTAATATGATTTTTTAAGGTATTTGCTAGATATTCTGTAAAAATCGATTGCACTCCATTTTTTGTCAGTGATGGGATCTCAATACGGGATTATTTGAAGCTAAAGAAAATCAATCAAACGATAATGTTTAAAAGCAAATTTGTCGATGAGTGGGAAGAATCTATCAAAATTTTCTGCATATAAAGAACTGCTACGGACTTTCATTTCACTGAATTATTGTCATCATTCAAGAACAAGAATCCACTCTCAGCTGTGGTGATGAAGTTCAGCCAACGAAAAAATGAAGTCACAGGCAATTTAGAACCTGCTAAAAACTCGTTCCACTTTAGTTCCAAGTTATTATTTAGACAAAAATTTGTTTAGTTATTGTAAAGAAGACGAAAAAAGTTTCTCAAATAGCGATGCGAAAGTGATTCATAACTTTTTGATGGGATTCATTAGTTGAGCAAAATTTTTCCAATTATCAAAAACAAGCTTTCCTAATTACTTCAGAAACAGAGAGCCTAAACGGAAAGTTTCCTCATGGAGGTTACCTGCAGGTCCTTTTACTTTTCTCAGTCAAATTTTAGCTATTAAATTTTATTGCAAGGCAGCTAAAAGAGACGTAAAAGCTTGATTTTTTATAAAGTGTTACAAGTTTCATTGCTAATATTCTTACCAATCAATCCAATTTTCCTGATAAAACCGTAACTCGAGGGCTTGAACAATAGTGGTGAGCATAATTCACTGACCACATGCAGATCAAGAGATCAATCCTCCAAGAGTTATGAAAATATGGTCTGTAAAAAAAAACCACCCCGATCATAACTACGCCTCATTTTCTTCAAAAGTCGGCACTAAAATGTTCCTTTATCAGTTAATTCGAAAAATTTTAGCAGTTTTTCCAGGCATCTTCTGGCGTCATTTGTTTCAAAAAATATATATGCAAAAATAATTTTTCTTTTTCATACATTGTAGTACGGTAAAATTTATGTATCAAATGACACTGTTTAATTTTAAAGCAAATCGAAGAGAAACATCCAAAATAAGATCTGTGTTAATCATTCTTTTAAAATAGTTATTTGGGATTGTTAGATGGGTAGCTAGGCAAATCATTATCTTTTGAAAATCTTTCTACTGTGAACTGTCCAGCTCAACCATGGCCTTTCATTGGTTCAAGGTTACTAAAAAATAGTTTTTTTTTGAATATTTGAATTCAAAAGACCCACAGTCAAATATAACAACATTTTTTTCCGTTTAGTGGATATCATCTCCATGCAATTTTTGATACTGAGAAAAAAGAGGCAATATATTTTTACAAGACGTGTTTGAAATAATTAATAATTTTAAGTGAATCACTTGGAAAATTTTTCTTTAGCTGTGATTTGCATCACAAAAGACGACAACACATCTCGGCATCAAATTTGATCTCCAAGCATTACAAAATTACAAGGATAAACTGTGTATTTTGTTACTCATAAGCAGACTCCGCAACAAGGACGTTCTTTTTGTTCTTATTTTGCTTTTTTGTTTTCTTTGATAGTTCCGACAAAAGTTTAACATATTTAAAGCATTGTCTATGAAATTCAGGAATTTACAGACACAAAAACGTACAACTACCCAGTGCACAATTTGGCCTCGAAACGAAAACTTGCAAAAACTCTTTCAATAGTTTTGAAGATACAGGATAGCTGTGAGGCAATTTTTTTATTCGTTTTTGACGTTTTTTTCTCAGTGTAAGTTTGTCAAAGAACAATTAAAGTCTCCGGCATGTTTGAAACTTTTAAAAATAGTTCTATGGGTCCTATTTGATAGGTCAAAGAAATCAGTAGTCGAACACTTTTTAAACAGCAAATAAACTCCAAAAAGCCGAAAAAGTCAAGTTACAGCTTTTTTTTCAGTTCCACATTATCAAGTACATTTTACGAAAGTAAAAAAAAAAACAAAAACGGTTTCTCGAATAGTTACGTGACGGTCACACCAAATATTCGATTGAGAATCGTTTTTTTTATTTGATGCTTCTGTAAGCTATTCAGCTCAAAGATTGACATCCATGGGTAAAACCAAAATGAAAACCTAAATGTTTGACATCTTATTTTGGAAGAGCTAGAACCAAGTTTCAAAATACATTTTTCTTTTCAGTTTTTTTGTTTTCTATGCTTTTTTATAGTTAGTAATGAGAGTAGTTGCATCAAAATAGACTGCACTAAGGTCGCGTGACCTGTCTGTTGGCAGCTTTTCTAAATTTCGTCAGGTTTCTAGCAGATTTTTGTTGTGAGTCATCTCGAAAGAAGATACCATTGTCACGTACGCTTGTTCTTGATTGATGATAAAATGCTTCAAAAGATCACTTTCGTCGATTTAGAAAACGATTTGTTCTAATTGGCAGCGGCAAAAAATCAAGTCAATTTCTTAAAATCATTTGCTTGAAAGGAGCCCTCGAGGAAAATGAGCGGAATAAGCTATAACTTAATCAGCTTACGAGAAATATCAGAGGAACTTCATTTACCAATGGTAATTAGAAAGAAGCCGACTAATATAGTATGATAATAAAGCGGAACAGTGTAGAGATATTCATCGTTTTTAAAAATTTATCAAAGCCAGCTTTAAAATTCATGCAATTGAATGAAAGCATGAAGCCCATATGGTTGCGCATGGAAACCTGCAGCATTGAAAACTACTTTGATCTGAGTTTACTATCATTTGCTTTGGGCTTCGGTTAAAATTGAAAAATTTTGAAAATAAAACAACCCAAACGCCACTAATTTGCGTTTTTATTGTTTAGAAAGCTTCTTTGCAGAGTGCTCTAATTAAACTTTTATTTTAAAAGTATGACATCTACCATCTACGATGATTATGAGCCGAAGTTGGGGACAGCTTTCTGGAACTGGGTTTCTTACTACGTGCAATATGATAGGTTCGAAGAGAGAGTTGGTGAATACCTACAGTACCATTACTACATTCGTGGTTCCTTTGATTTATTGGAGGTGAGAGCTAGCACAACCACTAGCATTTGCTAGAAATCCATCCTGTTAGCGAATGACTAACCGCAAAAAATTGCACTCATCAATTTCCAAACAAGTGAAAAATAAAAGATCTAACAGTTTTAATTTAAAAAGAAAGCGGATTGCTGGAAAGATTGCGAAGAAAGATCCAAATGGAGTCTACGTCTTTCTCAGGCGTTTTTTATTTATGAAAAGTAACTAACTGACACATTTTTTTGCAACCCAGACACAAAATTTAGAAGTTTCGATCAAAATAGATGTCAATAATCAGTACAAAAATGGGATCGGGCCCTTTGTGTAGTCAATGATTTAACATTCAGAATGAAACCTCTCCCTATCATAGTTCTTGGAAAAACCAATTCCAAAGGATTCGAATTTTTAGGCTATTTAACTAAAAGAAACAATGATTCGTTGATAGATCCTTTTGTTTCAATAAGTAACCAAACATGTAAGTTTCGGCTCTAATTATATCATAGATCATAGTCGATCTGGTCCTAGAGTTAAACTTAACTTATTACAGACACATAAATTAAAAGTAATTACCAAAGATGGTGAAAGATTAGACACAATTGGGTTGAGACATTTTTTTGCTAACAAAATTATTACGAAGATTTGAAAAGGTTGTGGGAGACGGTATCCCGCTGCTCGCCTTGAAAAAGAAGGTACACTGTCGTTTGAAAAACGATTCCGGCCTAAGGATGTTTGTTGAATCTTCTTGTAGAAGACACATAAATTAAAAGAAATTACCAAAGATGGTTAAAGATTAGACACAATTGGGATGGGGCATTTTTGCGTACAAAATTATTACAGAAGATTAGAAAAGGTTGTTGGAGACGGTATCCCGCTGCTCGCCTTGAAAAAGAAGGTACACTGTCGTTTGAAAAACGATTCCGGCCTAAGGACGTTTGTTGAATCATCTTGTAGAAGACACATAAATTAAAAGAAGTTACCAAAGATGGTTAAAGATTAGACACAATTGAGATGGGGCATTTTTGCGTACAAAATTATTACACAAGATTAGAAAAGGTTGTTGGAGACGGTATCCCGCTGCTCGCCTTGAAAAAGAAGGTACACTGTCGTTTGAAAAACGATTCCGGCCTAAGGACCTTTGTTGAATCTTCTTGTAGAAGACACATAAATTAAAAGTAATTGCCAAAGATGGTTAAAGATTAGACACAATTGGGATGGGGCATTTCTTTGCTCACAAAATTATTACAGAAGATTTGAAAAGGTTGTTGGAGACGGTATCCCGCTGCTCGTCTCGAAAAAGAAGGCACACTGTCGTTTGAAAAGCGATTCCGGTCTAAGGATGTTGGTTGAATCTTCTTGCAGTTTTAATATTTTACCAAACATAATTTACTTAAAAGGTTTTTATAAATAAGGAGAGTTTTTTAAAGAGAAAGAATAAAAAATAAAAAGTAAATTCAACTGTCTAATTGGATGAATAAATTGGAGTCAATGAAAGTGCAGGCCGATTGTTTTATTTTGCTTTATCCTGCACCTGCTATTAGACTTCAGTCTTGTTTCAATCTCTTGTCCTCCTTTAACTAGACAAGTTTTGCATTTTTGTTGGTTTTTGATATTCATTAATCAATTTTTAGTTTAATTGGAAAGCTCATAATATTTTCATCTGCCTTAGTTGCTTCAATATTCCGAGCGGTTGGGGGCTCTTCTGTTTTCAGAGCCAAAACGATAGGCACACACCACCTGAATGGCGTCGTGGATAGAATTGATTTCTTTTGGTCATCCATTGAAATTTTGAAAAAGTCATGGCTTTTTTCTAAAGTTTTTAAAACTGAAAGACTAAAAAAAAACTAAAAAGTTGAGATTAGGGTCTGATGTTTAAGGTTTTAAACTAAGTTGTTCAGAGGAAAAAACATTTTATTGTATGACAAAGTTCCGAAGAGCAAAGATTCCGCTCGAATCTTAAGTAAAAAATTAAACTAATGGCTTTTTGCATTGGTGTAGATTTTCTAATACTTAAACTCACCTCTTTTTGGAGAAAAACAATCTCTCCAGTAGCTAGTTTTTAGCGTTGTTAGATATAGAATAGCAAGGTTAAAGATCAAGGTTACAAAACACTTGTGAGAAACAAAATGAGAAAAATTTACGGAAAAGTTACATAGACACGCTTTCAAGTTTTTCTCTGAAAGCGCATTGTAATCTCTCGGAGTTTTTATTTTCCTCTCGGCCGTCTCTAGTTGTTTTTGCAATTGGCTTTTTAATTTCCTTTTTTTAAATCTTGGTTCACATTTTTAAGGGTTCAAATTGTTTCTGGTTCAATTTTTTTCTAAGTCAGCCTAACTACATCTTCTGGTTCACTCTCGGGTGAGGCCGTGATTCCGCTAAAGACGTCCTTCCCAAATTTACGAGATACTCCTTCTGGATTCTTAGCATTAATTTGAAGTAGTTATGGACGGCACCTAAAGAGGAGAAAACCTTATTATCAAACGGCTTTTCTGTGGCAATCGTTGTGCTAGAGTTCCTATTGATAATTTTGCCATGAAAAACCCTTGGAATTTCCACTGTTTGAACTCAGGCTCCAAGTAGTTTTTTTGGGACGTCACAAATCCCGGGTTATCGTGAGACAAGATCATCTCATGATCATTTGGGATTCCTAGTCTCTCTGTCTTTTCTGGGAGTTTTTTTCTCATCTAGATAAGCCATCTTCCAATGGCGGGAGGTTGGGTTCATTTGAATAGTTCTTTTCCTATTTTTGAGTTTTTTATGAAAAGACCCTGGATTGGTGCTGGCTCTGCGCTAAAACCTTTTCAGTTTGCTTTTGGCTTGTTCTCCATTCCTAAATATATAAAACGCTTTTCAATTACATCACTTTGAAAAAATGATCCCATGAAACATTTGGCACTACATATAGAGGCTTGAGAAAAGCAAACATAAAAAATTGAAACTTGGGCATCAATCAGCCCCTAATATTAGTCATATGTTCACTTAGGCTTAGCATGGGGTTTCCTTCATAGGTAAAAAAGAATCGAAAAAACGCTGTTGAATTAGACTTTTTAACCTTCATTTTCAAAATTTTGAATCAAGTTTTAATGGTTTTTGATGCGTATAACACAGTCCCACAACGGTGAAAAAGGAAAAAGTTGCCAGAACGTTTGATTAGACATGGCTTAAAATTTCTTCAATAGGCTGTTGCGTTGTTCTATTTTGAAAAGTTTTCTAAAGCAAGAAAGACTTGAAAATGAGTGTTCAAATGCAAAATTTTGATAAAAAGCCCAGCAAGAAAAAAATTGGGTTCAACAGGTGTAAAAATCAGCTCAGAAGCTCGGAAAAGTAATATTTTTTCCCAGATGAGAGCAATTCGTGCTGATGATGGTAGACACTTGATGCAATTTTTTTAAGTGGATGATTATCCGTTAGGGGCCGATAAATTGTTATATAGTTGAATCGAGAATATTTTTGACTTCATACTTTTCGCCATTTCGTGGCATATAATGGTGTATTCTAGTGTCCAACAGATGGGGAAAAAATTTTCCATGTTGGGCGAATGTTTTCTTTGTTGCTTCGTCGCAGTCTATACAAACAAGATGGAGAGATTGATGTGACAAATTTTTAGGTTGTTTTTTGAAAACAGTTTTGTGATTATAACATAACCGGCATGTGTATTGAGGAGTTGGATTACTAAATTTCAGAAAAATCTTACAATCGGCATGAAGTAAGGGATGAAATGGAAACCATAGAAATTTGAGAAACTCGCCGACGAAGGAAGAAGGACAAAGAAGAATCGTTTGATCAGATAATGTTCTAACAAAATTTTTGGATTTGATCTACGAATTGTAATTATTGTATCACATTTAATAATTTCACTGACGGTAGAACATTTTTTGCTAGTTTATTTTTTGAACATCTTGTCGACATAAGGAAATTTCTCCAGACGAAATCTAATTTGGGACTTCAGTTTCAAGTAGCAATGAAATTAGCTTTTGTGAAAAACATGTATTTATTTTTTTCATGAAGAACTCTCATCTACGTTTCTGCTTTGTGTTCGAAACAGATAAGGTTACACGAAAATCGTTTGTTTTGAATGCCTTTATGTTTAATGATATTTAGTTGGACTGGGAGTTCTTAGGTTTCAAGCATGACCTTAGAAAACTTTTAAACTATGCTTGGCGGCTATTTGGTCGCTATGCTTTTTGGTCGCTATGCTTTTTGACGGTTATTTGGTCGCTATACTAAGTATTATTTAAAAAATAAAAGTGAAGATCTCTTCCATTTTCTACCCGGCTCAGTTCTTTGATTTCAATAAATTGTTCATTCAGGTAAAAATGCTTTTTCTAAACACAGCAGTTACGCCAATAAGTAACTTATTTGAATTTTGTATGAACTAAAAAATTGAATGGAAAAACGGAGGTACATTGTTGTAGTTGTTTTGGCACGTTTGGTGGCATACTAATGTAAGGATGTCAAAAAATCATATTTTGACCTTCACGTTTCAAGACTAAGTATTAATATTTTGCAACTGTTACAGATATCTTAGTTTGTCAAAATTACCCTGTGAATTAAATGCCTACAAAGAGGGAACTTTTTTCTCTTATAAGTACGTTTCTATAAAAAAATCAAGTTTGAGAAAAGAGGCTGGGAAGGATTCTTTAAGGAAACTTTCTCCTTGCGTGACATATCAGATAACATATCTTTTTTGATTTGTTTCAGATCACAAGTAACTTGATTAAAAAATTACTGGCCAAAGGTGAAAATAATTGACTTTATATGTTAATTGGTTTATTGATACTGGTAGGAAGCTCGCTTTTAAAAGGAAATTTCAAATGAAAAATTGAAAAAGAACAAATTTGAAAATTTCAGTTGTTATAAAAGAACAAGAAGTCCAATAAGCTAAACCATTTTTCCTTTGGAGAGATGATCTCTTTTAACCAAGTTTTGAATTTTTGCATTCATTACTACTTATGCTTTATTTTAGTTTTTCAATTAGGTATCTGAAAAATGGCCAGAGTCTGGAAACAGGGAAAACGCTTAAAACTTGAAAAAAAGGTTTTCAATATATCTGACAAGCTCTTTTCGAATACTAGGGGGTGACAAAGTTTTTAAAACTTATCTTGCAAACATGTAAAAAAAGAAACCAAATTTTCCGAATTCATTCTGGTCACAATTGAATGGTTACTCTAATTTGAACTTTGAAAGAGTTAGTTACTTTGCTTCAGAAAAAAAAAACATTTCTTTCAACATCCTGAGTTTCTCTGGGCTGAGATAATTTGACAAAACTAGAAATAAAATTAGATTTGGGGTAGATTTAAACTATCCCGTTGTCCCAAGAAGCAATGGACTTGTAAGAAACGAGAAAGTTCTGGACGTTTTCACTTGTTGTAAATGTGTCAATTGATCTTTCAGTGAGCAAAATAGTTCCGTATTGGTTGTTATGTCAAAAGCGCATTTGTCAAACGCTGCATTTTTTTTCAATCGCTAAAATGAATCATTCAAATCGTTTTGTCGTTATCTATTCAATTGACGTTCTTGTTACCGTACATTTGAAAAAAATGAAAAAAAAACTGACAAACAAAAATTTTCTGAAATACAATTACATAGCCTTTAAAATTTTTTTCACTTGGACAATTATTTGAGAAGAAAAACACGCAGTATAGATTCCATTTTTTTCCAGGAAAAATTGACGAAATCCAACATTACACTATCAGTTTCCAAAAATATCCCGAAACCTCTGCCGTCCTTTATAAATTGTAATCCATTTAAAAAAGTTGTGTGTCCACAATAAGGAGACGTGAAAAAATGATTCTTATTCATGGTAGTAGGTGAAAAAAGGTATGAAAAAGATAATTCAGCCGGCTAGTGGATTTTTGAACGCCGGATTTTTCCTTTTAAAACTACAAATAGATGAAAAAAACTCATGATTTTGCTCACTTTTTGGGTAAATTAGCAATTCTAGCTTTTTAAAATTTTTCGCAATGTTCAACACGGTTTAGTCACATTATTTTTTAATACTGTGTATGACTGAGTAACTTAATTTTTTTTAGACCCTGATTGTTATTGCATCGATTGGACTGAACCTATTTTGTCTGTTTGCCTTTTTCGTGGTCGAGGAACTGCGCTCAGGAGAATACTTTCTTCTCGGTTTCCAATGCTTCTCTGAAGTTGTCCACAGCTGCATTATTCTCGTCGCAAATGTATTCAAAAGCTGGTTGTATTTGCAGTCTCATCTTTGTATTCGCGACTTCGAGTTAGTTGAGCAAGAATTTAAATTAAGCGTGTAAAGACCGCTTTCGTTTTTTCACATGGAAGCAGATCATAAGCGAAACAGCCACAAAATTTAATATATATCATTGTTCAACCAATTTTTTGAAATTGTAAGAAAATTTTATAACAAGCGTTTTTCCATACAATTGATGCATGGAGTTGTCTGATAAGCATTTTCGGTGTATTGTTGCCAACCTGGGTAAATAAGTGGTGGTAGGGTATATATCAAACCAGGGGCAGATCAACAACTTTTTCGAGGAAGGGGACATTCAAAACTTAAGATTTGATACAGGGGCGGATTTAAGGAGAGAGGGAATGGGGGTTGATGCTCACCAAGCTTTTGATAATTTTTTTTGACAAACATTTTAGGCCGACCAATCTTAATTTTTTCTTTTTATAAAAATTTGAAAAAGAGCGCACCGAAAAAACGCAGTTTTCCGGTCAGAATTCTCCCAAAAAGTGCCAAAAAACTTGTTTTTTTTTCACATTTAAAAAAAAAAATTTCCCCTGCGGCGCTGAATTTTGGTCAAAATTGGGTGTTTACAGTGTTATGCGGGTGCTCGGGGTATCTATTTAGGTGATCTTGAAAAAACTCGCAAAACTTTTATTAATTTTTTTGAAAATCCCCCTAGTCGAAAAATGTTAAATCCTCCCCCTGGTTTGATACATAGCTTTCAACCTACTATTTTAGCATAAGATTTTGTCTTACAATTCATTTTAATTCAAAGGTGTTGCAATTTGTTTTTCAAATTTGTTTGCTCAATGGTTTGTCTTGCTGCTTTTGTTATTGGTAAAAACTGCTGA